CACTGTACAGATAGGTCATAGCACAAAGCATGTATAAACTTGAGCAGGCAGTGTCACAAACATATCTTTGGTTGCTAGCTTAACAAAATCCATTTTCCTTGAGCAAGTGCTGTAAGAATAGGCAGAGATAATTAAGCAGGAAAGAGAAAAAAGCTACTGCGTCCCCGCCATGTCTTCAATAATTGAATTTCTTCCGGCCGATCAGCTTTCAGTAATTGTTCAATAAGTTCAGAACCTGGTGGCTCATTCTCAAACATTCTATTGAAGGCTTCTGTGTCATATCGCCGGTAAAGTTCTTTAAGGCGGCCCACAACATCTGCAATATCACGTACAATTTGACGAACCCCGTTGCTGATTCTCTCCTCAGTCCTCACTGCACATGAAACCTATTCCCTACACAACTACTCTTCAGTCCTTAAAATAGGACCCAATTCTTGAGTTGATTTTGGTTCTAAATATAAGACCCATTTATCATATTTATCAATTTTCTCTAAATTACCCCTATAGATACTCTCTCAACCATAATCAAATAGAAGAGGAAGAAGAGGTATTAAAAAAGATGATTATGGTGTTTTAGGAAAAATGTGTCACTTTTCTTATAATTAACTAACTTACCTAGCTTCCTTAATCTAATCAAATTAGTTAAATAGATCTTACATTAAGGACCGGAGGAGTATTTTTTTTTTGGGTGAATTAATTAGTCAATTACTACCTTTTATCTTTTTATATAATTAATTTGAAAAAATTAAAAAAATTGTTTAGTTGGTTAACTATAATAAATGTATGTTGACTTTTGTAAACTATTCTTTTCAATAATATGTTTTGAAATTGTCCCTTAGAGAAAATATTACAAGTTAGTTAAGTTAGTTATTTATAATAAATATGTTACCTTTCCTAAAATACCTTTATTAATCATATGTATTTGAATTAGCCACTAATAGTAGCTTCTTAACAGATATAACTATTATATGAATCATTTGTGGACAAAATAAATAAATATTAAAAACAAAATAAATTGTAGTATTATATTTAGAGTTAATTTAAGCATAAAATTAGTTCTCATATTAGGTACTCAATTTAAGGAACAAAGATGACCTGTGAAATCAAATGCCCCCAAGTCATATTATTTCAGTGAGACGCCAGAAGAGCTCGGTTGACCTCCTAAGTCACGCCGTATTGTTTCACAAACCTTAAATAAACCCACATTGGGAGCACATACCTTCTTCGTATAGAGCGCTGGTCATAATCTCATTTGCAGCAAATCCTCCTTATTCTTTCTTGTACGTTGAGTTTAAAAATCATTTGCAATAAATGATAAGAATGAAAATCAAGATAAAAATAAATTAAAAAAAACTCCTCCTTACCATAAATATTAAGAAAACGGGGTTTTGATTCATTAGTAAAAATCTCATTAATATTAATTGGTCTGTGAATCAGGAAATGTGATGTGGAGTCATTAAAAAAAAAACAATGAAAAATAAAAATCTCTTATTTATAATCATTTTTCCAAATTAGAAATGTGAGTCACGGTCATTATGGAGAAACAATACAAAATTAAAAAAATAAATAAAAATCTCTCATCTGTAAATAAATAAATTTTTTTTTTAGGAAGTCCAACTTTATAAATAAATACTTTTTTCCTTTCACTTGTAAATAAATAATTTTTCCTTTTTTGGGGTCATTCACATGGAATCCGGAGCGCATAACCCAAGCCTGAGTCCGGCGCAAGCGATCTCGGCGTCCCACAACTATCAGCAAATAATTGGTGTGGTTTTGGTACATTAACAGCCTCCACTCCCGGAGGGAAGTATATGGGACAGATCGAAGGTCTTGTTTCATTTTACCGCTGGGCTCCGTCCAGCATGTTGAGGATAACTATGCATATGTGTGTGTGAATTTGGGTCCCTTGTAACACCAACCAGATTCATATGTTCATTCATACATGGCTTTCTACTGTACAAATGTGCATTTTCATCCTATAATACTATAATACTCTCAGTTCTTAATATAAAATCTATCTGACTAATTTGAATAGATAAGAAAACTAGTTAAATTAATTATTTGTAATAAATAGATATTATCTTTCTTAAAGTATCCTTAAAATGTATTGGCTAGAATCACTATAATTATAAAGACTATTTTGAAAAAAATAGATAACTATAACAACTAAAATGGATTGAAATCTTATATTTAAAATCAAAATAAAAATCAAACAAATTTTTATATTAAGAACCGGAGATAGTAATTCCCTACTTCACTTGAGTAGTATCAGCCACAGTGCCATACAGACATTTGTTTCTCTATTTTCATCGGACGTTCGAAATTTTCGTGGTAATGACTAGCTGTGCATTTGTGTTTGCTTACTGTTAGCGGAGGCTCCCTTTGACTGTCCTAGACCCGACTGGTGTTTGCATTATTAAAACCTCTTTTGGTGCCACATGACGACACCTAAAAATAAGGAGAGAAAAGTGAGCCGATGATGTGAAAAGGGATTGCCCTAATACCTTGTGTGTGTGGGTGGGAATCATAAGGAGGCAGCTTCTCTTACGTCAGGCTATGATGACCCTACATAAGATGGGCCCAGCCAGTGCGTGTTACCTTACATGTAAAATCAAAGGAATGGGCAATTGGGCATGCACGCCGCTCCCCGTATTTTGCAAATTTCATTTTTCCCCCCTTAAAAAAGAGAGGAATTGGAAAGCGTAAGAGCACTAACTTATTCACTGTTAAATTGTGGGCATGGCCTTGGAATTATTGGAGGAGGAAACTGTGAAGGGTATGATGAGCAACATGTCTTTTCCCAGCCCAAAGGAAAATGAAGGGGTCCCATTGGTGGGAAGTGGGGTTATGACTCTTCCACATCGATCTATCATACATCCACCTTTCAATCCCACTTTCTTTTTCTCTATTCGAGGGAAAATAGATCTTCCCTCCCTCCCTTCTGCCAAAAAATTTCCAACCCTCCTCTCTCCTCTGGTTATATATACATAGACACACACACTCCTCGAGTTCTCAACTGAAGACTCATTTTATAATATAATCTGCCCTTTAAATGAGTCTTATACTGAGTCTTATACCAAGACTCTGAGCAATATATATATATACGTTGAGTTACCTAGAGCTCTGTGAACTGTTTTTATTTCCACTGGTTTGGTTAGGTTCTAGCAAATGAGAAGTTAATTCAACAAAAGCAGCAATTTTTTTAAAGCATACATATTCGCAAAGCGAGAGACGTTTAACGTAGGTGTGAAGGCCATGTATATCATCATCAAACATAAAAAGACAAGAAGAAACTTGCTTTTTAAAATTTTAAACTCGTGTCTGAATATATTCTCCTTTGACAAGGAGAAAGAACCATCGGTTTTTCCCCCCATTTCGACGGGACACATGGGACGTGATTAAATTTTAAAACAGCTTTTCGATGGGCAATAATTGAAGGTCCCTTCGTCACTATGAATCTTTCATGCAACCTTCAATCAGATCGATTCTTGTTCATGAGCGGCTCAGCCCCAAAGGGCAAAAGCTTGGGGCTATTTTGGTTGTCTGCTTCGTCACTGTAAACGGCTTGTGGTCCCATACCATCGAAAACCAGATAGCAACCCCAGATTAGCCTTCCATAAACGGAGAAAACACGAGCTAGAAATATCCCAGTTTTCCAGATTTTTAAATCTAACCCTATGAAACTTTTAACAGAGAGATAGAGATAGATAAGGTCGGGAGGGAGAGCGGTGAGGCTATTGGGCTATGAACCCTACCTACGACCCTGATTGCTCAATAATTGCGAATGGGACCCAATCCACCACGGAGAGTTCTGAGTCTGACTACAACTACATCAATCTATTCTGGTTTTGGTTTAACGTTGAATCCAACCGACGATTTCTGCACTTCCTATACACGTGTTCCCTCTCCAGACGGCCACCATATACCCAGAAAACCTTAGCTCTTGGCTCATACCCTCTACCTCTCCTATGGATTGGATTCAACGCTTTTTTGGATAATGAAAATCTGCCCTTAAATTCCCATACGCTTGTTTTTCATATCAATACCAAACACCTCGTGCCTAGTATTTTTTAGATTTCAGATTTCGTGGACAGTACACACCAGTCATACATTTCCAAGTTTTAGTTTTTAATTTACAGTACATATGGAGGCAGGAGGATGACGATATGGATGGAATCATACCCAGAGAGCACCGACTTCGACGAGCCTGGGGACGAGGCGGCCACTGACGTGGAGGGCAACGAGGGACTCCAAGCCGCCGATGCAGGTTCCGCCGATGAACACGGTGGGGGCGCGATTATTCTGAAGGGCTTGGGTGCCGTTGTTGTCGGAGAGCGGCAGAGCGGCCATCTCACGGTCGTCGAGTTCGATGACGGCGGGGTGGACGCCGATGGTGGCGAGGAGGTTCTTCATGACGTGGCACATGCAGCAGGAGGATCGGGCGAAGATGACGACGGGATGCTCGGATATGATGCGCTGGATTCTACTCTCAGCGGACTCATCGACGTCGATGGACAAGGAGGAGGACGCAGAAGACGAGGCAGAGTTGGTCATGGGAGTAAGGTCCAGGGGTACGACGTCGTTTGAGCAAGGGCGTAGGCCTTGCATCCTGCAAATTATAGATGTGCAGAAAGGGGAGAGTGCAGAGAGATAATCCGTATGTCAACGGGAGAAGCCTCGGTGCGGAGTGGGGAGCGCCTCGTCAGTTGTGAGCAGAGTTTTATATAAGAGGGAAATTGGTGGGGAGTTGCTTACGTCATCTCCAACTGTATATGGCCTTCCCTCCTCGGCATTCTCAATCACTCCACCCACGCGCTCTATGCATCGTCGAGGATTACGAGGGAGGAAGGGTGAGTAATCGCCGACCAGGGATCGCGCGTGGGCGAGGTGGTCAGATGTTCATAAAGTATGATGACGTCACATTGACTTATAGGGGAGACGGTAATTTCCAATGATGACGTAACCAAAAGTTAAAAACTTGGAAGCATGGGGGAATAGTGGAGTGGAGTGGCGTGGAGTGGGGGTGGGGGTGTGGTGTTCCTTCCCTCCTCACGCCCATGACATAATCATCGGAGGGGCCTTACACTTCGCTCGTCATCGTGACGTTTCCCGTCAGACACGTGGCCTGATATTTTATTTTCCCTCAGCCGAGGAGCATATGGTAGCATCCAATTACACATTGCCACGTGTCATCTGTCTGCGGGCACCAAGGGCGGTGTGATGTGGACACAGTCGCGTATGCGAAGCTTGAGGGGGAGGAAGCCAATTTAAAAGGTGTTTGGTTCAGTCCGAAAATATTTTTTATTACAAGATTATTTTTGAAATTATAATTTAGGTCTCGTCTAAACACTTCTTAGTAACTAAATTTTAATGTATTTTTTTATATGTATTTGGTATATCATAAATTATTTTTAAAATTATGGTTTGGTTTGCTTCCAGATTTTTTTTAATAACTAAACTTTAATGTGTTTTTCTTTTGTTCGGTTGGTTTTTTTTATGAGAGGCGGCTAAAAAAGTGGACCGTTGAAGGTGACATATATACACACGCAAGGGAGGTAAAACGAATATATGTGTAATTTGTAGAGGAGAGGTCGATGCGCGGATGAGGATGGTGGGCTGGAGTTATTGTGAAGAACAGCTTTAGATTTGAGCATTTTCTGGGAGATAGGTGATCACGTCATCACTTTGCGGGTGGTAAAATCCTGTGATTGTGTGCCAGGGCAGCTCTTTTCGCTCCTCGTTCGTTTCCATAGTTAGAGCTGGATGGACTGCCCGGTTGATTTTAAACACAATACTAGTATATATTAGACACACGCAGATATAATCTGTCATTAATAAATATACAGTGACGTGGATGACGATTCCTTCTATTATAGAAAAAATGTCAGAAGCATGTGGGAGAGTGGCGGGTGACGGAAAAGGAAGCCGATATGGGTGTGTTTGGATGAAACTAAACTGTGGTTTGGAAAAGTGATTCTGAAGAATAGATTCTGGAGAGAATAGATTCTGTGAAGAATAGATTCTGTAAAAAAGTGATTGAAGTGAGAGTGTTTGGATAGTTGTTATCAGAAGCACTTTTTATATATACAAATTACTAAAAAAAGACATAAGTTAATATGATAATTACAGAAAAATAGATTTTATGATATATTTTAATTTGAAGGAATAAAATTGTTAATAATATATTTTTTACCAACATAATTAATAATATATAAGATAATATAATTAATAAATAATTAATGTGTATATATATTTATAAAATATAAGATTAAATATGTTTATAAAAAAATATGTTTATAAAAAAAATAACAAGACACATATCACATAGGCTCTCACACTCTCCTTTTTTTCTCCAAAAACAAAAAATTTTTGCTTTTTCCAAAATCATGGTTTTGATTTTTGAAAGGGGTGTTTGGGTGATTTATTCCCCAAACCATGGTTTGGGTCTCCAAACCATGATTTGGGGTGTCACCAAACACACCCATAATAATGGTAAAAGCCAAGCAGGGAGGTGCCTGTAACAATGCGAATGGTATATTATATGATATAGTAACTTAAAGGACAAGTTGAGGGGGGCACTTTAAACGTAGGATGTGTTTGGGACTTTCTTGTGGGGAAAGCCTGAGAACTGATTGGACGGGGGGATTCCAAAATCTGTGATTGCATCCACTGTATATGCGCACCATTACTCTTTCCTGTCCTCCCCCTCTTGCCAGTTGCCCCTTCCGTCACCACTCACGTAATAACATTTTAGTGAAAAAGAACGAAAAAGCTTGACCTTTTTTTTTTTTTATAACTACTCTGAATTAAATAATGTGAATCAATAATACCATTGGAATATAAATAAGAATATGTGCGTGCGTGGGGATGTCGGAGATTCAGTTTCATATTTTATAACGTACGTGGCATGAGAGACCGCGATTTAATAAAAACAACACGCGCATGAAGGCGAGAAGCAAATTTGAAGCCAACTGATAATTAAACCGAGTTTGCTCTCAGCAAAACTGAAATAGATGACTGATTAGACATTCATCAATTGAGAATATTGATGAATTGAAAGGTGTTTGAATTAGTTTTTTTAAAAGTAATTTTATAATGTATGAGACAGGAATAAAAAGAATTTACCCAGTGAAGACAGTTGTTCAAGTGTTTATAAGGGTTCCCAAACACGCCCTTACACTAGTTAATTGGAGCCTGATTAGTTGACAGGCTAGACGTGGGCATTTCTCTTGCTTATCCGCATGAACCAATCGGTCCTACCCCCGCCCTTAAGGCCGCGGCCTGCTGGTCACCAAAATATAATGACCCTGCCTCAGCGTTCAAACCATTACCAAAATTAGAAAATATTTTTATTTAAAATAAAAAGGGGGATCCTGATAAAGCTCTTGGGAAGACGACATGTACGGTGGTGGGTTGAGGTGCAAAAGGTCCTTAACGTCAGCACCAGCGGCTGATTTACAAGGGGGTGAGCCCAACACAAAGCCATCAGGCCCTATTCCTTGGTTGACGCTGTGTGTGTGTGTGTTCCATTTATCTAGAGACATGTTATTGAGAGGTCGTTTTCTCAAAATTTATGGAAGAAATTAACAAATCCAGGGGATCTCGGATATTCCTAGTGGAATCGAATCAGCGTCCACGCGTCACGAATCATGCCCGCATTGAACTCAATTAGATTCCTGCCTGATATTAATTATTATTGTTCTTTGCTTTCCTATTGAGCCCACTCATAATTCCACGCTTTAATTAATTAACAATCAAGACCTGCCAGGTGTGCCCCTTCCCAGTCCCACTCGTTCCTTTTTCTGGTGCTCTTTGTTAGTTTTAGAATGGAATTTAATTTAATTTAATTTTAATTTCAGTGTTGGGGGAGGGGGGTAACTGAGCTGGATTAGCATGGTAATGGATGAATGATTAATGCAGAGGCGGGATAAGAAGCACGTGGCGGGCCATGCAGGCGGTGCATGGAAGGAGCCGGCCGCACGTGAGAGGCCACGTGTCAGTACCTTCCAGAAGAGGGGGGTGAAGTAACAGAAACAGATGAAACAAGGCCATTCCACCACTTTACTACTTCTGCTCATTCGCAGAAACAGTCATATTGCGATCTGCGCCTGTACGTGCTTTCAACCTTTGGATCGCCCCACCCCTTCCTTTTTTAACATTTTATGTGATCGTGGAAAATTTATAAACCATGGATAGACTTGTTAAGATAGGCACGGTGGATGATGGGATTTGTTAACCCAGGCCAGGTTGTTCTAATAGGAGCATTTCATACTTCTTTTAATTTCCTAGGGGAATGATCAATTTAAGAATTATGGCGCCGTGTCGTCCACTTGGGAGGGGACATCAGAGACGATCAGAGGAAATATATAATTTCCCAGATACCGTTGCCTTTTGAACGTCGAATCTTAATTGATAAGGACTTGAATATTGAAGAGGAGGCGCTAGTGGGAGGAGTGGCCCTGTGATCAACATCATCATCACATAACTCATTCTTCCTTTTGTTTTATTGTCCAAGTGAAGAGGGAGAACAGTATCCAACACCCTGATTCCTCGCGAAGATGCCTTTTGTTCATTGAGATACCCATGAATCATGTTTTGTTTTTAGCGGACAAAAACATTAGGCCACCGCCATATATATATATAGGTGTGGTTTTCGTTAAAAGCAACCCGCCCTCATCACACCAACTAACAACCACCCCCATCGGATTCCTGCTTCCCCATTTTTTAATATACTATTACTCCTCCGGTCCTAATTATAAGACCCAATTGACTTATTTAAGGAGATTAAGGAAGTAAGTTAAGTTGGTTATTTATAATAAATAAGTGTTTTCATTCTTAAAATATCCTTGCTAATTAAGTATATTGACTAAAACTATCATTATTAGAAGGATTATCTTGGAAAAAAATGCATAAATATAAGAGACAAAATGGATTGGGGTCTTATAATTAGGACCAAATAAAAAATTAAATGGAGTCTTATAATAAGGACCGGAGGAGTATTTCTTAATTCTTAATAGTTATTTGTTACATTCATAGCATCCACAAATCCTGTAACTATGTGAACCGAAGTCAAAGAATGGAAATCCATCCCTTGCGCTGAACGTTTCGCCTGCGACCTTTCGACTTACTCGCTTGTTACCCCTCCATAATATTTCCCCCCGATTCGAGCATAAGCATGTGCTCAATAATTGTCGTTCATGAGGATTTCTTTTTTTTTTTAAATGAAGGTTGTTCATGAGTACTTTGACATCACATGTATAGTTATACATTCATTCTTAATGAATAAACTTGATTGCGTGAATCATGCTTAGCTTCAGTCACGAGATGTCCAGTTCATTAGCACCTCTGTTGGTGACTTGGGCTTTGGTAAGCCCTATTCTCAAACGGTCTCGTGGGCCTAGACAACCTACTCCGGCCCTTCGTGGGCTCCTGTACTGAGCCCAAGGATGTCTTAGGTTTATTTTCCTTCTTACCATATCGTTTGAGCGGGTGACCAATGCTACTGGGAATTCTGGAAAGAAGCCCATGAGCGGAGAAGTTTCCAGAACTTTTTCCAAAATATCCGAGGCCACATCGGAGGGACACGTGGCGGAAATTCGTAACTAAAACGAAAACCCCCCAGATCTCTATTCCTTTTGTGTCTCTAGAATCTTCTTTTCCACCGCCTTAAAATCTATCATCTCTCTCTGTCCTCTGTTAATTCCCCGAGCTTAAT